GCTTGGTGTGGGGGTGATGGGCAGCTTGTGTCTATTGGTCTCATCTTGCTGGCCTTGCGTTGAGTTGTCTTGCAATAGGGTCTGCACTGGCGGTCGCTTCTTTGCAATCACGACTTCTGTTACGCTGATGTGGTAAAGGGGCGTCCGCTTTAAAAAAATTCAGTTGGAACGTCAATGGCGAGACGAAGTGTGAGTGATACCTTGCCCTCCAAGCATAGGTCTGCTCGATGTCAAAGGGTGCAGATTTCACAAGTGGCCGCAAGGTTGTTGGACCTCGGACGTGACTTTCCAGCGGTGATTACCAGGAGGCGAATCAGCTCCTGGATCCGCTTTTTTTGTTGAGTCCCCCATCAGGACCTGGGCGATTTTGGGCCTTGACGTCTGGCCTGCTGGCAGACTTCTTTGGTTTTGGTGTTGGATTTAACGTCGTCGCTTAGGTGCAGGCTGTCCCAGGGAGGTCTGGTGCGCTGTCATAACAGGCCAAGTGCTTTGCAAACGGTAAGGTGAAAGAGATTTTCTTCAATAGGCACCTGAAGAACAGTCATGGGTTTCACCACTACCCCCCCCAGCTTCAATTCTGGGGGTGAACGGAGGGTAGTATGGAGTTGTATGGAGGGGGGTTGTGGGGAACCCATGATATAGGGATATCAAGGCATGCTGACATGGATGGCAGATGTCCGCGCGCAGAAGACCAACCAGGGTGACAACATTCCTTAACACGAGCCTAAATCCTAAACCTTCTCTTCATATATATACAAAAATATATATATATTTAAACCTTTGTAAATTCATCGAATAAGGCAAATCCTTCGTCGATTAAGGCAAGTCCTTCGTCGATTAAGCCAAGTCCTTCGTCGATTCAGGCAATCCTTGCTCATTTGCCTTAATCGACGAAGGACTTAGCTTATTCGACGAAAGACTTGCCTTAATCGACGAAGGACTTGCCTTAATCGACGAAGGGCCGGATCCTGGCCACTCTCCAACATTCGTCGATTAAGGCAAGTCCTTCGTCCATTAAGGCAAGTCCTTCGTCGAACAAGCCAAGTCCTTCGTCGATTAAGGCAAGTCCTTCGTCGATTAAGGCAAGTCCTTCGTCGATTAAGGCAAGTCCGTCGTCGATTAAGGCAAGTCCTTCATCGATTAAGGCAAGTCTTTCGTCGATTAAGGCAAATCCGTCGTCGATTTAGGCAAATTGGGTTTGGTGATAGGGTGGGGTGGGGACCTTCTGCAGCCTACTCGGCTTTCTAAATTCTTCGAAGTCTGGTGTTTAGGGTCCCGGGATGGGGTGGACGCCGGACAATTTTGGCTTCCAAGAAGGCCCGAAACCCTCGTCGCTCAACCCTCGTACGAGGGCTTCCGAAGGCCTTCAGACCTGAACGGGTGAGAATAGAAAACTTTGTATTTTCCCAATGTTATGGGACCCTATGGGCGGGTGGGGTTTGTCTGGTTGCTCGAACCCTTTCTAAACTAGGAATGTCCTGGCCCTGCCAATCGTAAACCCTAAACCCTAAACCCTAAACCCTAAACCCTAAACCCTAAACCCTAAACCCTAAACCCTAAACCCTAAACCCTAAACCCTAAACCCTAAACCCTAAAACCTAAACCCTAAACCCTAAACCCTAAATCCTAACCCCTAAACCCTAAACCCTAAACCCTGAGCTTCTGCGGAAGAAAAGCTTGGATGGCTACCCTGACACCCAGGGACACCCCATCTACGTCGGCAAGAAAGTAGGTTTAGGGAAACCAACTACCTTGATGCTGCACGTCAGGGTTTTTGCTTCGGTGGGTTTAGTTAGTCTTCGAGAAATCTCAGTGAACCCTAAGCCCCGAACCCTAAACCCAAACCCGAAACCCTAAACCCTAAACCCTAAACCCTAAACCCTAAACCCTAAACCCCAAACCCTAAACCTCAAGAGCTCCAGAGTCTCCTGATCTCCAGACACAATGGGTCCAGCCTTCATAACGACACCCTCAGGTAGGGTTGGGGCTGCGGGTTCAGAACCTAAACCCTAAACTCTCCCGAAACCCGAAGCCCTACCCCTGTAGTCGAGTTTCTGCTGAATCGGCAACCCAAAACCCTAAACCCTAAACCCTAAACCCTAAACCCTAAACCCTAAACCCTAAACCCTAAACCCTTAACCCTAAACCCTAAACCCTAAATCCGAAACCCTAAATCCTAAACACTAAACCCTAAACCCTGAAAGGTAGGGTTCAATGAGAGCCAGCTGCCTGAAGGTAGGATCTCCTGCCGCTGCTGGTCACAGGCTGTAAAACCTACATACCATAAGCAGGGGTTTAGGGTTTTATTTTTAGGGTTCAGGGTTTAGGGTTTAGGGTTTAGGGTTTAGGGTTTAGGGTTTAGGGTGAGGTTTTGGTCTTAGGGGTTCGGGTTTGGGCTTTGGGCGTTAAATTCGGCCTTGTCTGGGGAGCAATCGCACCTTCTAGGGTGTGAGCAGCGAAGCCCGGCAGCCCCCTACGTGTTTAGCATGGAATTAGAGGGTTGGCTGCTTTTCAGGCCTAGGGTCCACCGAAAAGCCTCAAGGCTCTACCACGCCAGGTTCCCCAAACCCCTTTTAGGTACTCCCCAAACTTGTGTGGAGGCCACCTCTATATACACCCACCAAAAGACCATAATCCTTGTTGTAGGAAACCCACAAGAGGGTAATTATTGCTCGACACAACCTGTTGTAACAGTCTGGTGGTTAACTCTACAGCTTAAAACCTAAACGCCATAGACGCTAACCCCCACACCCAAAACCCTGTAAGAAGACGGTTTGTTTAGGGCCTGGGGAGTTCAGGATGTAAAAGGGCTCAAGGTTTAGGGTTTGGAGTTACAGAGTCCTTAGCCAAGGCCAAGCAGGTCCGCGGTTGTGGTGGCAGTTGTTAACCCTGAGTGTCGCAGCTTTGTGGGTTTGGGGGCTCAGGGAATGTAGGATCTGGACGCCATGGAGCTTCCGTCAGCACCCCCGTGGAGAACGAGCCCGTGTTCGTGCCCCACGAGGTTCCGCCGCCTATGCCACCCGTGCCTACTATGCCCATTGCATCGTGCCTTGGCTAACTGTGCCGTCTTGCACGAACCTGGCAGCCTGGCAACTCTCGCCGCATCCATAGAGCCCATACGCTCGGAAACCTTCTGGACGCATGAACTGGCTGCTAGCCCCTAAGCCTTATGATTACACTTCAATCTGCGAAGGCATATGGAGATCATCAACCAGTGCGACAGAGGTGACATTGAAACCGGCAATGCGGAGTCCGTTGGGTCCATGTTCGGCGTGGTGCCAACTGGGCAGAGGGAGACTTCTCCTGGCACAGTTGCGCCTTGGGCCGGCCAAGGGAGTTATGGGTTCCAAGCCCGCAAAACCCTAAAAAAGCTAAAAACCCTAAGCCCTGAACCCTAAGGACCCCCAAACGGCCTAAACCCTGTATTCATGGAGCGGCAACCTCCCCCTCGCCTCCCCCCTCAAACAAAAAATCATAAAAGCAAATACATATGTACAATACGTATATATATATATATATATATGTGTGTGTATGGATACATCCCGGGCTGCCACCCCCCCCCCCCCCACCCCCATGGTATCCCCCCCCCATCCTCCCTTGGATCCCTACCCCCACCCCCCACCCCCTTGGTGTGGGTGTGGTTGGGGGGGTTAGGGTTTAAGGGTTTAGGGTGTAAGGTCTACCCCATGGCCCCCCCCTGTGGTGTGGGTGTGGTTTGGGGTTAGGGTTTAGTGAAGGTTTAAGAGAGTGGTGTGGGTGTGGTTGGGGGGTTAGAGTTTTCGGGTTTAGGGTTTAGGGTTTAAGGTGTAAGGTTTAAAGTTTAAGGTTTAGGGTTTACATAAGTTTAGGGTTTAAGGTTTAGCCCCCTGTGCTGTGAATGGGGTGTTGGCGTTTGGGGTTGAAGGTTTACGGTTTAGGTTAAGGGTGTGAGGTTTAAGTTTGTTCTAAGGTTTAGGGAGAGGCTTGGGTGGGGGGGGGGGGGGGCCCGGGGATACCAGGATTGGGGGGGCGGGGGGGCGGGGGTGGCCGGGGGAGGGGCAGGGGGGGGATACCATGGGGGGGCGGTGGGGACCATATATGTGTATATATATATATGTATATATATATATATATGTATATATATATATATATTACCATATATATATATATATATGTCGTTTAAAAATCCCAAAAGGGTTTAGGGTTCAGTGGCCTAGGAACCCTAAGCTGGCAGTGCTTCTATAAGGGTAGTTTCTTGGGCCCTTAGCATGGTCCCTTACCCTCTTTAACGGCTTCTGGTGTCTGGGCCCTTGGGTTGTAAAGGGTATACAAGGGGTAACTTCTTAAGGGCCCATACCAAGGGACCCTGAAACTCCAACCCTAAACCCTAAACCCTCTAAACCCTAAACCCTAAACCCTGAACCCTGAACCCTAAACCCCGAACCCTAAACCCTAAACCCCAAGAGCAGAGGTGGAAGGAGGAGGAGCTGGATATCAGACGCCAGCAAGGGACCTCTCGCCTCGATCCAGCGTCCTTCTTCCGGTGGGCCAGGGCCAACACCCTGAACCCTGAACCCTGAACCCTGAACCCTGAGCCCTGAACCCTGAACCCTAAACCCTAAACCCTAAACCCTAAGCCCTAAAACCTAAACCCTAAACCCTAAACCCAGAGTTGAGTGAGGGCTCAAGGGGTGTAAAATAATTGATAGCCGCAAGCCTGATAGGACCAGCATAGCCCCCAGAAAGCCCCAAAGTACCTTACAAAAAAAAACATCCTTCGAATTCACAAGGCGCTTAGATGACGGTCCTTGAATTTGGCATGATCTCCGAAACCGAACCCCAACCTAAACCCCAAAAAGCCTCAACGCCTAGAATCTCAAAAATCTTAAGCCTTAGGCCCCAAGAGCCCCGAAGCCCTAAACCCCTGAAACCCTGAGCCGTTCAGACGTTGATTCCTGCGACCGTATCGCCACCCCTTCATCCTCCGTTGCCCCCCGGATCAGGTTCGAAAATGCAGCTCCATGGATCAGATGCGGGCAGCATGTGACGCCAAGCAGATGAGAGATGGCACAGGGTGCATGTTTTAGGGGCTGGCTGGGTGGTAGCTTTAGTAGAAATGCGCATCGGGGAGCGTCCACATTGGAAAAACACACTTTAGGTAGCTACATCGAGTCATTGAAAGGCTGCCGTTCTCGATTGGTGGACAGCGCCCACACGGGGGAATCACACTTCACATACATCATTCAAAGTTGACATTTTCTAGCGGCCTGCAGTGCAGGAAAACATTTAGGAAGTCGACCGAAACTGCGTTTCATTGGGGCGAAGCACTCGCTAAGTGATGAAAGTTTCCATGCAAACCGGAACAGCTTCCTGCGGCAATGCATTGATGGTTTCGCTGTGTGAGAGTCAAATTCAGCTTTGCTGCAGAGCTGAAAAACCAGACTGCAAGACGCACTTAGGGTTTAGGGTTTAGGGTTTAGGGTTTAGGGTTTAGGGTTTAGGGTTTAGGGTTTAGGGTTTAGGGCACGGCAGTTGGGCACAATAGGGTTTCACTGCATGCTAGACGCGCGGATCCGGATCACGGCCCCTTGCTCAAGCCCCTTGTCGTAGAGGTTAGCGGGCTCAAGGTTGCTTGGGGGATTCAGCTCAGCTCCGGATGAAGAAAGCAGGTTTGGTTTGCGGTTTAGGGTTTCGTTCTTCTCGTGTTAAGACTTGGGGGTCTGGGGGTCCCTCCCTCCCCCCCCTCCTCCTTCCTCTTCCGCCCCCGGCCCCTTTTTCCCCATGTCACGGGTATTTCAAGCCCTTCTAGAATCCAGCCTGGCAAGCCTAAGGATCAGGCGCTTCTTTCCCGGGCGGCGAAGCTTTTTGCGCTGTCGGAGGCCTATGCATTTCAGGTTTATAGCGGGGCTCGTGGGGCTTCATTGGGCTCAGGGCATCTTCTTCCGGGTGCGTAACTCAGGGTTCAGGGGTGTTTAGTGGGTTCTGGGTTTTCGGAGCATTGCGGCTTGAGATGCGAAGTTTGGACTTGGGGGTTTTGGGAGACTTTGGCAAGTTTGAGGCGATTTCAGGAATGCTCACGGAATCAAGGGACCTTGGGGGTTCTTCAGGGGTTATGTAGGGGCCACCTAGGTATGTAGGGGCTATACGAGGTGTATGTGGGCTTTAGAAAGGGGAATAAGATTTAGGGTCCCTTCTAGGGGACCCTCCTTCTGCCCCTTAACGGAAGCCCAATGCTGACACCCCAGGCAGAGCTCGGCCGCACCCAAGCGAAGCGCGCCAACACCTCACACCACCCCCACCATTCGCCTTGGTCCCCACCAAAAGTCCCCAGACACTCTAAATAACCTAAACTGTATAAACCCTAAAGTCGCCTTAAACCCACAAACCGTACAACCCTACAAAGCTCCCAAACTCTAAAACCCGAAAATCCTAAAGCCATAACAAACCCTACAACCCTAAAACCCTACAATCCTGAAGCCGAAGCCCACCCGAAACCCTCAACCCTAAACCCTAAACCTCAAACCCTAAATCCTAAACCCTAAACCCTAAACCCTAAACCCTAGACTCTAAACCCTAAGAGCCTGCAGAGGACTCTGTTGTCGATACGGGGGGGCCGTGGAGAGCCATGGACTGCTTCACAGCGCTTTGGCGCCTGGTCGGCTATAGGGTTTGGATTTTAGGGTTTAGGGTTTAGGGTTTAGGGTTTAGGGTTTCGGGTTTTGGGTTTGGAGTTTAGGCTTTGGGGTTTAGAGTTTAGGGTCAGGGCTCATGGGGTTTGCTCTCTAGGGTTGAGATATACATATTTACATGGATATGTGGGTGTTTCTCAAGATGGGGGTACCCGTTTGATGGACCCCTAGATGGCCCTAGATGGTCTGATCCTCTCAATAAGGACCAGCAAGTTAGGTACAAATTGCAATGTTAGGACTCTGTGTCGTGTGCCGGGATCCCAGAGACCGTCCTGGCACCGAAGCCCGAAGCGTGTAGCTAGGGTTTAGGGTTTAGGGTTTTGGGTTTAGGGTTTAGGGTTTAGGGTTTACACTCTCAATACCCTGACACGTCAAACACCGAAGACTTCAACATCCGCCCATGTTCCCAGGGGCGGCTTTCTCTACTTCCTCATAGGCCTCGCGCCCAGTGGTTGGTCCAGGATCAGTCAGAAGGCCGTGCTTGCCGGTGCGATTCTCATGACTGCGACTGGGCTTCGAGCCTAACTGGTATTCCGCATGCGGGCCTTTTTTGTTGTAGGTAATCAAATAGAACTAGGGACATTATGTCGCCCCAGAATACATTTGGTTTTGCTCTACATACTTTCCCTTGTTCGGCTTGGGGAGCTGCAGTAGTCGGTGCACAGCCCCAGGGCAGTACCTAAACCCTAAACCCTAAACCCTAAACCCTAAACCCTAAACCCTAAACCCTAAACCCTAAACCCTAAACCCTAAACCCTAAACCCTAAACCCTAAACCCTAAACCCTAAACCCTAAACTTTCGCAACTCGGCCTCGAGCCTGCGACCCTTTCAGCGCGGAGCCCTAAGCCACCCGCAAGCCTTACACCCTCCAAGGCAGGGACGTGGGCCATCGGCTTCTACTGGATCTGGGCAAGTGAAGGGAGGCAGCAGTGGATTCACGCAGTTGGCCTCCTGGAGAGAACGTTCCCTGGCTACTTAGAGCTTCCTTTGGAGTTGCCCTGTCCACTTGTATAAAACTGCCGGGAGAATAGTTGATTTTCCCTTAGATTTGGTTGCGAAAGATGGTCAATTCACGAAGTGCCTGGTCAGGTTTCGTCCCCAGCAGGCTTTGAATGATGTTGTGAACGCTTCTCCGATCCGGAATTGTCCGAGCCCGCTAAGCAACCCCAAAATCTCCTCACGTGGAGGAATTTAATCTGAGGGGGAGGGGATGACACAAAAAAGCCCAGAGTCCCAAGCCTCTTACCCCCAATCCCTCAAACCTTTACAATCCCAACCCTAACCCCTACATAAGCCCTTCAAACACTTAAACCCTAAATCCGCATAGAAACCTTAAGCCCCATAAACCCTGAGGTCCTTCTTGGCCCTTCTGTTCGGGGTTAGCCGCAGCACGGGGTTCCGTGAGCTGCTTCTGGAGAGACTACCCGAGGTGGGCTCTTTGTTTTTTCTTGGGTGAGAGTTTAGGCTTTAGGATTTCGGACTTAGGGTTTAGGGTTTAGGGGGCTGATTTTTTTCCCAAAAACCCTCGTTTAGGCGAGGGGGTGCTAGGGTTTAGGGTTAGGGTTTAGCGTTGCGGTTAGGGTTTAGGTCTTAGGGCTTAGGGCTTAGGGCTTAGGGTTTAGGGCGACATGAGACTGGAGTGTGGAGCACAGGGCTTGCTCCCAAACGTGGTTTTCCCTGTGCCCCCAGATTCATGCCTCAGAGGACAGAATATAGGTCCTGTTTTGACTTCTGGATAAGAACACGAACGTGTCGGCAGAAGCTGCGACGCGAGCTGGCCAAAATCAGTTTTTATGACTGAACACACACGTTTGGCTTGCCCCTATTGCCGTAAGCTTGTTTTTTTGGATCCCGGCTCGGCCTTGTTTCTTTGGGTGGGTGGAAGGAAGACGGAGGGAGGGAGGGGACTTAGGACGTAAGCTTCCCTCCCAGACGCCCTAAACCCTAAACCCTAATTTTATAATGCCCCCTCCATTCCCTTCCCGGAAAAGGCGCAGGAGATCCTTCTCGACTCGGCCACGCAGTACTCCGTGGCCCGGGACATCTGGTAGCCCAGTGGTATCCTTTTCACATTTATTTTCTTTGGGGGGGGGGGTAGGGTTTGGGGTTTAGGGTTGTTCAGGGTATAGGGTTCCGGGTTCCGGGTTCCCTTATAGCGTAAAAAGTCACCCTTTGTAGCATGGTTACTGGGCTAGTTCCCAAGGACATCTGGCCGGTCTCCGCATCCTCCGTCATGTGGCTGCTCTGCCTAGTCGCAGAAACCCAGCTGCGACGAGCGACCTGGCCGCCCTCAAGTCCTAAACCCTATGCCCTAAGCCCTGAGCCCTAAACACTAAGCCCTAAACCCTAAGCCCTAAGCCCTAAACCGTAAGCTATTGACTTCCCCCCCGCCCCCAGACCGAGACAGACCCCTCAACCCTAGGCCCGATAAACCCTATAGGGTTTAGGGTTTAGGGTTTAGGGTTTAGGGTTAAGGGTTTAGGGTTTAGGGTAATACAGGGTCGGAATAATTACTTGTAGCATTCCCTTGTTCCATTTATCAGTATGCTATGTTGACCCCCAAAACCCTATTCTAATCATTAAGGCCCTATATTGGATCCTAAAAGCCCAAAACGTGTTTGTGGAGTCCGAGGACGAAGGCGCTGTAGTTCCGCCTCCAGTTCAGCCGATCTTCCTGTGCGCCGCGTGGGCATATGCACTGCTCCGGTTCAATAGCTTCCTCGTGCTCTTGGTGGAGCGGGTCAGGGATTCGGAGTTTTCTTGCCTGGGGTTTGACCCTAAACCCTAAGCCCTAAGCCCTAAGCCCTAAACCCTAAACCCTAAACCCTGAACCCTGAACCCTAAAACCTAAAACCCTAAACCCTAAACCCTAAACCCTAAACCCTAAACCCTAAACCCTAAACCCTAAACCCTAAACCCTAAAACCCTAAACCCTAAACCCTAAACCCGATGTTCGGGGCTACCGTTTCAAGTCTAGGGCTGATAAAGGAGGAAGCCCCCAGTGTGCGCCCAAACCCCAAATCTTAAACCCCAAGCCCCCAAACACTTTGTTGAGGTTGCGGGTTCCTCTGTAGCTCCTTAGGCTTTCGTTATAAATATATATTTTAAGGGGCTGCGCCCATGGGTGGGCAGCGCAGGCAGAAGCTCGAGGAGAGTTGATCTGTTTATGCTTTTGGCGCACGCGCGCGCGCGCGCGCGCGCCCGCCGGCACTACGGGCCGACTTATTTGTGCTACGCACAAAGGCTAGCTCGGCTATCATGGGATAAACCCCATGTTCTATAGGTTCGCGCCAGGCGCGGGGCCATGTCATTGAGGAGGATGAATTACGTGGAGATAGGACCCGTGAGGTATAGGGGGTAGAAAGATAGCATGGCGATAAGCGCAGCCGAGAATGGGCCTTCACTAACGCCGCCCCCGCTCGGGGGTCGACGGAGAACCCAAGCGAATACTTAAGAAAACATCAAAGTTCTAAAGGGAGTATAGTCCGAAAACCTTAGATGCGACACCCTGCACGCTTGACTATGACCTAGCTGTCTGGGCTTCCTGCTCACGGGACTTTGTCTGGGGTTTCGGTTTAGGGTTTAGTGTTTAGGGTCTAGGGTTTAGGGTTTAGGGTTTAGGGGTTAGGGTAACCCGAAACCCGAAACCCTAAACGCTAAACCCTATCGCTGAGCCTCAAAGATGTTCGATTAGCTTTCAGTGAGAGGGGACCATACTCAACGACCCTTGCGCCCAACACGTCACCCAACTCGTCAGGCTTCGGGCTTGGGATCTAAAACGTTGGGGCCTTAAACCCCAAACCCCAAACCCCAAACCCCAAACCCCAAACCCCAAACCCCAAACCCCAAACCCAAAACCCAAAACCCTCAACCCTAAACCCTAAACCCTAAACCCTAAACCCTAAACCCGAGTCAGCTGAAGGCAGTGGTGTGAAGACAAGGGGCAGCCGAATGAAGCGCGCCCAATCCAATTTCGGAAAACCAATACCCCAAAGGTCCATGTACCTCTGTTTAAGGTTTAAGGGTTTAAGGTTTAAGGTTTAGGGTTTAGGGTTATAGCCTTACTTGGGTCTAAAGCTACTAAATGGGAACCCCCTTTAATACGGCTCAAGTATAAACTATATACGACACTGTTTACGGAAATTCTAGGGGTTTTCGTGAACACGAAGCAAAGTGGCAAAAGGGCCTGCTCATCCATCTTGTCATCGGTTTTTCTGGAGCTGCGTTTGCTTTTGGGAGCTTAAAGTCGCAGGAAGAAGCTTGCATTGAACTCACGAAAGGGACGATTGACGTTTCCAGCGTGTTTGATTTGGCCTGCAAAATTTCGGCCTCAGGCCTATTGGGTGGCACCGGATCTTGTTTAAGAGCATCTTTCCGGCTGTCTGAAGGGGCCAACCTGGTTTGGCTTGGGGGATGTAGAACCCTACACCCTAAAGACCAGACTTTCGAAAACACATGGTTCGCGTTTAGGGTTTAGGGTTTAGGGTTTAGGGTTTAGGGTTTAGGGGTTCAAAATAAGCCCTAAACCCTTAAACCCTAATCCAAAGTGTTGGGTTTGTGGTGCAGGAGCGCTTCGCACAGTCTACCTCCCGCCATCTGGAGGATGTGGAACTGGCCTATGAGCCTCGGCCCAGAACATGGTTGGGAATTTATCTAGTAAGGTGTTAAGGCTAGGGTTAATGCGGTTGGGTGAAGAGGGCAAACAGGGTTTATCCGCTTTCTGGGGCTTAGGATTAGGGTTGTCGGAAGAGCTGCTGTAAGCCATTCCCTGTGCATGGTGTGTGCAGGAGCAGTGGGCGTGCATCGTTGCCTTCGCGTGCCAGGCTTCGCGCTGGACCGGTTTGGTTTACATCCACATCCTAACATTCTCGTTCCTGCACATGTGCCCAGTTTTGGTAGCGCTACTAGATAACCAGGAAAGTAGCAGGGGCTGGCTGCTGCCACATTTCTTTGCCAGCCTCACGTACTGCGGCCTCGCAGCGTGCGTGCTGCAACGAGCGGCCGCTGTGAGTTCGCAACGACACCATGCAGTGGCGTGCACAAACAGCTATCAGTGGGCTTCTTGCTAGGCCAGTGGTACCCTTTTTCTCTTTTTTGGGGTTCAATAAGATAACCAGCCCCCCAAAAAATGCCCTTACTATGATGTGGTTACTGGGTTATCAAGGCTTTGGGGCCCACTCGACGCTGGGATCACCACGTCCTTGTGAGCTTCATGGAGCGGAGTGACTTGGGCATTGCCGTCTGTGGCGTTCACCTGACGACATCTCTGTTGCTGAAGTCCGCGTCCATCTTTGCCACTTGGCCGGCATCCTAAGTTCCAAGCTGCCCTGGCTCTGCAGGGTATCTGAGCTCGCAGCAGTCGCAGAAAGGGTTACCAAATTAAGTCCACAGCAGGTAGTAAGAGTAGTAAGAGCAATCTTCGAAGCAATCGTACCGTCAGGAACAATATCAGTCGCCCTAAGACGAAACATAGTCAAGGGTTCGGGGCTTGGGTTCAGAAGGGCCTGCAGTGTGTGATGGGTCTCGAAGGCCAACTTCTGGAAGGAGACACGTGAGCTGTCTACACCCGAGTAGCCTAATCCGCGCCTAAGCCCTAAACCCTAAACCCTAAACCCTAAACCCTAAACCCTAAACCCTAAACCCTAAACCCTTAACCCTAAACCCTAAACCCTAAATCTCAACCCTAAAACTCTAAAACCCTGAAGCCTGGTTGAGGAATGCCCAGGTTTCTTTGCGTATCCAGGGTTTCGCGTCAAAACGTCTCCAGACGTTGAGAGGTCCAAAATCCACGCCAAGGTGACAGCTGCATCTTTCGTTGTGGCCCGGCTCATGAGTCTGCCTGATGTTCAGAAGTCAGAGCTTTCCGAGCAATGGGATCGCTTTATGGATGTTTTCGGGATGTAGACTCTGTGTTTAGGGTTGAGTTTAGGGCTCTGGGTATCTAAACCCTAAACCCTAAACCCTAGTGTTCGTAGGAGTGTTGGGTCGGTGGTTGGTGGCAGCAGATGGCAGCGCCAATCGAAGCATCCACGGCTCGAACCGAAGGACCTCCTGCACGCAGAAGTGCCATATTTTGTCACGTTCTGTTTCTGTGGGATGTCCCAGAGCGTTCTGGAGAAAGCTCGTCTTGGATTGCAAAGCCGTGCTCGTCGCAAACTTGAGATAAGAGCAGCCCTAAGAAAGGGATCGGAAGAATTACTAATAGTATTCCCTTATGCTCCCTTTGTAACTATACGATAATTACCCCCCCCCAAAACCCCATTCTCATGATTTAGGCCCCTATATTCATCGCATCAGACACCCTTCAAGTGCAGAGCCCTCGAATTTTTAAGTCCGGGGCCGGACGCCTGCACCCTAAACTTCTCGACCCGACTAACCCCCGATCTTTTTGCCGGATACGGATACGAGGTTAGTCCCGGAGATGTTGGGTTTTGAGGGCAGGCGCTCCTCACCAAGTGCAGGAAGAAAGTGCCTTGGTCGACAATTCGCGGAGCGTGGGCATTAGCGTGAATACACTCCCCCGGGTTGCTGTTGAGGACAAGGCTTCAGGGTTCAGAGTTCAGGGTTCAGGGTTTAGGGTTTTGGGGTTTGGGTTTTGGGTGGAAACCACGGGTTTTCACAATGAAACCTCATTACTTGTGGCTTAGTTTACAACACCAACCCCATTGTTGACGTCAGCGCCCACAGACTTCACATAAGAGCAGTCTGTGGTTGCTCTGGGACCTCGCACACGGTTGCTGGCCAGACCTTGTCTCACGTGCAGGTCTGGCCTTGCACTCAATATATTCTATTTAGCATCCAAGCCCTGGCGAATCATATGCAAGGCACCATTGCTAGGGGCCTCGTGTTGATATCAGAAGTTGAATGGAACATAGATCGACTCAACCAGCCCCAGATAGACCATCCCCGGAACCCAGGCCTCCGATGCAAGGGAAGTGGTGCCTGGTGTCACACAACACAAGCCGGCCTCAGTGGGCCGGCTTCTCTCACGTGCTGAAAGTACGAGAGAGAGAGAAACGTCAGCAAAATGCTGTCGCCCGCCCACCCCCTCTTCTTCCGGGTCACGTTTAGGCTTACAAGGGCTCAGTTTTTGGGGATACAGCTGCGCCGCTGATACAGGTGGGGTTGGGTGGGGAGGGCTCGCCTGGACATTCAGGCAGCACGATAGCAGGCATACGGCTCCTTGGAAGGGTTCGCAATTCGTTGTCCGACCCTTTCCTCGGGGATGTCACATTGGTTTCGACATTTAACATGTGCTTCGGACTCTTCAGGCCCGTGGAACACGGCTTGCTGTTGCCGTCAAGCACAAAGATGGTAAACCCTGAACCCGAAACCCAAAACCCTAGGACTCAGGTGTTGCCCTCTCATAGCTTGCGTGCTATACGGTGGCAGGGTCCAAGTGAAGCTCCGTCTTCGGATCGAGGACACTGGTGGCCGCACCACTGTCACTGGTGTCTGCGCCGGCATCTCTCGTGTGATGAATAGGTCAAGAAGGAAGCGTCAGCGAAATGCTGTCGCCAATGCCCCCCCACTGCCTCGGTAAGGGCAGAACAATGCAGAGCAGGGCTCCTTTGGAGGTGTTTTTGAGGCGGCATTTAGACATTTAACATTTTTGCTTCGGACAACTCAGGCCTGTGGCACACGGCTTGCTGTTGTCGTCAAGCATGAACACGGCACGAGCTCTGGCGAACAAGTCAGCATAAGTCTTGGGCAAGCGCAAATGCCCCAAGTAAATCCTCAAATGCTGTCGTTAATGTGGGAGCCTCTCAACTCAATCACAGTCGCTGCAGCCCTGCGTGCGACTTCGGCATCCAGCATTCCCCCCCTCCCCTCCCGCCCCTCCCTCCCCCCCCGACGTTAACCACACCCTGAACGCTCAACTTGACCGCGAGGGCTGAGCGTTGGTGGGGTGCCGCTGGGCTGTTCAGCCGCGCAGGGTTGACATCTCTGAGGTCCAGGGTTCAGGGTTCAGGGTTGACGGTATTTGGGGTATGAGAAATGTTTGATACTGTTCCGACTCTTGCACATGGGCGGGTCGGGCAATGCTTGTTTCGTGCTTCCGCTGTGTTTTTGGTCTTTGATCCCGTTTGCTGAAGCTCTCAGAATTACTGGTAGCTTCTACATAGCTTGAACACGAATCCGTAATTGAGGTTGCTCTAGATCAGGGACCCCCGAAATCCGAAACCCCAAGCCCTAACCCCAAACCCTTGGGTACCTTCAACTACAAGGACTATGTGATGGCGCAGAGACCGCAAACATGGGCTCAGAATTCTCAGCTGCCTCCCAAACCCCAAAGCAGAACCGCCGACTCCTCAGCTTGGCCTCTACCCGCAAACCCTGGTCAAAACCCTCACCCCTAGAACTTGAACCCCAAAAAACCCTAGACCCTAAAGCTTGAACCCTAAGCCCTAAAGCCTACATCCTAAAGCTTGAACTCCAAAACCCTAAAGTTTTTTTTTAATCTGGTGATGTAGGCTGCCGGAAAGCCTAGTGCCGCACGCCTCTTCCATTTCGACCGCTGCCATGAGCATACGGATGCTGCAAGAAAGTGCTGGAGCATCATCGGAACTCGCCAGCTACATCTGCTATCTCGAAGAATTAACCCTCGACATCTGGTACTGGAATGCCATCATTAGAGTTATAAGCCTCCAAGAATGCCCTAAACCCTAAACCCCAAACCCCAAACCCTAAACCCTAAGCCCCAAACCCTCAACCCTAAACCCTAAACCCTAAACCCTAAACCCTAAACCCTAAACCCTAAACCCTAGAAGCCCTAAACCCGAAACGCCCATGGCGGCGCCCTCGGCCCGGGATTTCCTGGTCCGCGCGGAGCGTGTCCTGGGCCCAGAGCGCCCTGGGATCCTGCAAAGCCTGAGGTGCGGGTCCAGCTGAGGGTCTGTAGGGGTTAGGGTATTTTGTAGGGTTTAGGGTTTAGGGTTTAGGGTTTAGGGTTTAGGGTTTAGGGCTTAGGGGTTGGGGATACTTAAGAAAACACTCTAGTTTTTGGGTACTAGAATTCCCAAGAAACAGCTTTATGACTGGGTCCATTTGAGCGTCTGTAGGGTTTAGGGTCTGAGCGTATATGGGGATTTCCCCGAATCGGGGTTGTACGCTTTTGGAGGAGTGTTTCTGTTCGGGCTTCAGTTTCTTTTTCCAAAGGCCTTTCATGGACATCTGCAGCGACTGGGAAATCGGTTCGTTGTTAAGTCTGCAGCAATCTGCCCGATGCTCGACTTACGGGGCTTCTGCTGTCCAGGAGATTTCGGGCTTACTGTGTGGATTGAGGGTTTCACGTGAAGGGGTGCAGTTGTGCTTGGCGTTGCATCATGCAGAAGCCACAGCCCTGGAGGGCCAACGGCAACTTGCTGGCCAGGGTTTCCGACGATCTGCACCACAGCTTGCAAAAGTTTAGAGCTCGTGCAGCTCACAGGTGTTTGAGTTTGAGTTTGACCCAAACCTGAACCCTAACCCCGAAACCCTAAACCTTAAACCCTAAACCCTAAACCCTAAACCCTAACCCCGAAACCCTAAACCTTAAACCCGAGACCCGAAGCCCGAAACCATGAACCCAAAGCCGCTGCAAGTGCTGAGACGTCTCAAACCCCAAGCAGTGGGTTCGGAGTCTAAGGCCTGAGGTTCTAAGGCTGCGTGTGATCTAGGGCCTTCGAAATTGGCCGTATTTTAAGGGGTGTGGTTTGGGGTCTTTTTGGTCTTAGCTTCGGTGTTGTGAACTTTGGGAGCTTCTTGGTCCGGCTTGCGCTTCTTTTCGGACTTCATGGTCCTACACCTCTACATGGAATGCAGATGGCCCGAGGCAGCTAAGCCTTCCACAAACTCCACATCTTGACGTTAAAAGAATCCCGAGCTGTACACCTTTCAGCTCACCTGACCACCAGCAGTTGCCACCAGAGGAGAGCTGATCGCGAGATTGTCACGGCTGCGGTTGAGCAGCGTCTTGGCTGCTGACTCGGCAAGGTTGAGGAGGTCCCCTATAGTACACCGCAAAATGTTACAGGGGTCCCCTGATACACCCCAAAATACACCTCAAGAAGGGCACTCCCAGTTTTTGCAAACCCCCGTGTCGAGGTTTTAGGTTTGCACAAGCGCGTGCAGATGCTTTTTAAAGGCACGTGAAGCAGACTGTTGTGGCGGCTGTGTCATGTGGCAGCTTGGCTTAGTGCTTCCTTGAGTATACGCTGTCCTCACAAGAAGCATGTACCTCAACAACTTTCGTACAGTTTTTCAGAGCTTTATCGGTACTGAAACTTACACCTCTATGCAACTTTGGATTTCGGGCTGGCTTAAGAAGCCTCAGCCTTTTTGTGACTTAGGATACTTAGGGTTAAGGGGTGTTGTGTTCCTTGTTGTTAGGCCTTTCCGTCTGTGTCGGGTCCATGTTGGCCTGTTCTTGGGGCTCGGCGCAAGGAAGTTGCCGTTAAGCCGTTAAGCTTCGCGACGCGGAGCTATTTTCTCTATACATTTTTCCAGAACAGTACCCGATGTGACCCTAAATTGGTGGCTCTCCAGGTGTGGCACAGCGGTGGCCTATGCAGATATCGCCCTGCGTAAGGATCGAGAGCTGGCCCTGACGGCCGTGCGGCAGCCTCTTGGGCTTTGCGTGGAGGGCGCTGGGTTTGAGGGTTCAGGGCTTCGGGGTGTTGGGGCTCTTTTGGCTTTAGGGTGCTCTTTCTTCTTATGCAGGCTGTGTCTTTCTTGAGGTATGGCCACTAAATCACCTTCAAACCCCCGAAGCCTGCAAACGGACTCTGAAACCCCTAAGCGCAAATCTTTGGGTTTAGCATTTAGGGTTTAGGGTTTAGGGAAATCCAAGGACGGGCTATGCCCTGGAAGTCTTGCACCCTTTGCTCCGGGAAGACGAGGAGCTGGTGCTCGCCGCGGTGGCCGAAAACGGATGCCTGTCGCATGGTGGTTAAGGGTTTGGGGTTAAGGGTTTGGGGTTTAGGGTTTAGGGCTTAGGCTGAAAGAATCCCAGAACCCTCTGACCCTCTGACCCTGTAACCCGAAAGCCCTATAAGGGTTTTTTCCTTATATCCACCCCGCATAGAACACTTTAAGGGACTAGATATTAGGGAATACCCTTCATCCCCCTATAGAAGCCTTTCAGGCCTACTTCTCAGATCAAGAACAAGAAGTAAGGCTTGAACTCTCAGTTAAAACCTTACACCCTGAACCAAAACCCTACTTGGAGCACCAAACACTGGTGCAAAGCCTGCAAGGTTAGGGTTCATGATCCTAGTGAATCGTTCACTTCTGACTATTGAGGGTGCAAGGTTAGTTTTTTTCCTTGCTGTTCATCCCAGGAAATGCGATGCAGTTCGCCGCGCATGAGCTGTGTGAGGACAAGCCTCAACCCTAAATTCGAACGAGCCCACGATGACACACGTGCTCGGCCATAGACATATTTTCTTCAACATCATGCTGAAACCGTCGAACTCCTCCGGCATGTGAAGTACATGCACAGGTCAGACAGAACCGTGAAGCTCCAAAGCCCCCCGCGCCTCAAACCCTAAATCGCTCCTGAAGCCCTAAAGCCTCTGACAGCCCAGAGTCCTGCAGTCAGGGAAGGCCTCGCCCAGTTTGGGTTATTACATCACCGTGAACATATATTGGCCATATAATCATAACTAGTAGCCCATTATCGTTAAAATACTCTATCTCATCCTATTTATCAGGTGATGTAACATCCGAAACTGGGCAAGGTTAGGTTGATTCATTTTATGGGGCATAGTATGGGTAGTAGGGTGGGGCATTCAACGAGCCACAGCGGCGAGACATCGTCAAGGAAGGCGACTTCTGAGTCAGCTTCCAAAAGGTGCGCCTTGCCTGTCTTGCGGTCTGTGTCTTGCACTTGTCTGCTGGCTAATGCATTCGGCGGATGCTTCTTGCATTTCTGCACATCTTGCCCAGCAATCTGGAAACCTGAAGCTTCTTGTGTCAAGTCTCGCACCAGTAAGTCATAGCCATGAGCTCATTCCACTGCATTGGGTTGATGGGTCGTGTGGCAAGTTCACATCATGCTCTCCGACGGTTGGGGCAGCCTCTTCGAGGCACATCGAAGTCAGCCTTCCACCAAGAAATGCCAATGACAGAAACACGCTTGGACGTGCTATTCTTGTTAGATGGGCTACATCCCCCTTCTAACACTCGCTACTTGGCAGAAGTCAACCAGTTCTATGTCAGCAGGATTCACACTTTTGGGGGGAAGTGTTGGCAACTACGCACCTTGCAAAGCAGCAGCGGAGCGCACCACATTGTCCCCATCATCATCAACACGGGCGGCATCGCCTACAACAGGCCAATCTTCAACGACAAGGTGCGCCAATTCTTCCTGCCCGAGTACATCAATCGCAAGGACATGACTCGTGATTGGAGGGGGCGCAGGACAACGGATGCTGTCCAGTTCCCGACACCTCTGGGCGATGGCTTCTCCATCGCATCTGCAGAGTGGGACACTGCGCGTGAGAAGGACTGTTCCAGAAAGCACTCGTTCCTCGTAACCCATCCCATTTGCTGTTCGTGCAAGTTTGTGAAGCAGTGCCTAGTGCCGTGTGTTGGCAGGAGATTTACACGCGCGAGGAGGGCGTCATCTACAACCTGGTCGGGCACGAGCTGGCGCAGGTCATCGATGAGTGTAACGGGTTGGCCAGAAACCTCAAAGGTCTGGCCGACGAGGGCAAGTCTCAGTCCTTCATCCAAGAGTTCCGAGAGGAGGCGATCAAGCAAACAGCAAAGGGCTTCGCAGCGCAGGGCGCGACAGTGAGCGCCATTGAGCGCGAGGTGAGCTCCATGCTGATGGACGACATGATGCCGTGGGATGGAAGCGCCCTCCCAGTCCCAGACCATCTTTGGGTGAAGTAGCTTTCCATTCCAGTTCTGTGAAGAGAGATTCCAATCCCCTAACCTTGGGACTCCAATCCCCCGAATCCCCTAGTTTTAATTTGGAACTCCAATCCGCGAATCCCCAAACCTTAGGACTCCAATCCCCGAACCTTGGGACTTCTCTCTTCTTCGAAAGCGCCAGAGAGCACCAGTTGCCAGAATGCACAGAGGCACGGTGCATCGCAGACAGAACCGCCGACAGAGCACCCAATGCCACAAGCGCAGACGCACGGTGCGCACAGAACCAAATCGCAAGATTCTCGGGCAAGAACAGGCGCTTGTTGCATCACCATTCTGAAGCCCAGCCTTTCAGCATTCAGCCTGAATGAGCCCTTAAGCCCTTAACTTGGCAGGTGATGGAGGAAGGCGAGTTCCGGCGTTTCCTTGTGCAAAGCCAAGGTCAGGGCTTAGGGGTCGAGGTTGATTTTTTTCGGCTTTCCCACTTCGGGAAAACACAGGCAATCCGACTGTTTACCAAGGGCTTGGCGATGTGCCTCAGAAGGTGTTGGCGTCTGGCAGTTTAGTTTGGGTTGCTAGGGCTTTGTCCCCTAAATCCCTATTAAAACCCTAAGGCGTTTGGCTCAAAAGTTTTATAAACCAAGAAAACAATCAACAAACAAAATACGAAAAGTAGGGTACTGAAGGTTTAGGGGTATGAAAAGACTCAGAACACAAATAACATGAATATTTTCATAGTATTTGCATAGTATTTTTACTCTAGTGAACCAAAAAAGCTGTTTACAATCAAAAACAACATAAAGCATCTAAGGTACTGAAAATTTAGGGTTTGGAGAATACAAATAACAAATAATATTAATGTTTTAATATTATTTGTCTAATCAAAATCGGCAAGGTTTAGATAGTTGTCGTCAATTTTCTCGGTTGTTGTTATACCGTTTCTTCTTAGATACTCATCTTTTGGTAACCATGGATACCTTATATCCATATACCTTTCCCATGAGTAGTCATCGTTGAAATCAATTCTTGAAAGACTCGCTTTAACCCAAGATGAGGTTTGGTTTGAATACAGTTGGCGTTCAACTTGATTTTGCTCTTCATTGTTAGCGATATAATCACAGATGTTTTTTAATATATCGCTTATTGGATTCATGTGTGAAGCAATATATTTTTCAATCCTTTGTTTTGTATCAACGTCTTTCTTAAATGTTTTATCGTATTCTGCAACTATCTGGTTACGAAGCTTGGTGTAAAACGATTTTATATCATCCTTATCGCGCCATAAATTGTAGTAACATTTCTTGATTTCCTTGTGGATTTTTTCGTTGTAGAATTTTGTATCATTTTTTAATACCTTTGATTGAAGTTTTTTGTATGTTGGGAATGGGTTTAGGCTCACATAATAATACATTTGTTTGTTTCTTTTCTCCTTCTCACCCCCTCTGTATTCCTCAATACAAGGTTTATCTTCAACTGCTTCAACGGCATTGTCAAATTTTTTCATGCTACAACCATAAACAGTACTTTTCAACTCTCTTAGCGTGGTGCATGTCTCGCACTCTTTGTAATTAAATTTGCATATGTTTTTCACAATATTTTCAGACAATGGTAAGTGATATAGGTTCATATTTCGCGGTGTAAATTTGCATCTGGTGCACATACTTATTTTGTTGTTGATTATTTTCTTCATCTCAATAACATCCAAGAATTGATTAATGATTTCTTCCTGTTCTTGTTCACTGAACATTTCTATTATAATACATTAAGTTGTTATTTCTTTAAGTGTGTTTTCTTAAGAAACCTTTAACAACTCATGTCGCAAGTATGACCTATTCTCATCGTCCAAATGATAATATTTTTGTCCTAGTTTCTTCTCAATCTTAGTGACTTTATGGATTGTTTTATTCCAGTGTGATGTATGTTCTTTCTCGCTTATACCTTTCTTTCTCATTATCTTGACGTTGTCGCCTTCGTCTATCTCAGGGTATGTTCTGCTACGCTTAGCATGTATGCTTAACATCAGTTTTACTTTCAGTTCATGTTTTGGTAAACGTGCATCCTTTGGAGTCAGATTATGGGATGAATGTATATCTTTATTATTATATGTCAACAGTATTTCAAAGTTATAGTCAGTCCATTGAATATTTTCTTTACCTTTTTTCTTATCTGCTTCAACACGCTTGAATAACTTATCTTTGTAGGTTTTAATGAAGCGTTCTGCAAACGCTGGATGTCCACGAGTCCTATGAATCTCAATTTTTTCCTTTTCCAAATATTCTATAATTGTTTTGCTATACAAGCTCCCTTCTTCATCACTGTAAAACATTTTGGGCTTATCGCCCATTTTTTGTAGCCCTTCCATTATTCCCGCCAACATATCAGGTGGCTCTTTGCTCTTAATAGGTATGACAGTAGCATATTTACTAAAAATATCTATTAAAACTAAACCTATTCTAAACTTTTGGTTTTCTAAGTCTTTAGTGCTAATAAAAAACAAATCCACCTGAAACTCAAAATACGGATGCGGTGCTACAAAACTATTTTGACCTCTCGGTTTCCTTTTCTCTTCAACGTTACTTTTAAAGAATTCCTCAACGTCAGCCATTGTAATCGTTTTATCTTTGACCTTTGCATCTTTCAACGTAATAGCCTTAGAACCGAACCCGCTTCTATCAAAATAAATATCATTAATTATTTTTTGCTTCTCGCTCATATAAATAAGTAAGAAAAATAATAATATTTTTTACAAAAATTATTATTTCTCTTCTTCTGGCTCTTCCTCAGGAATCACTGTTATCACCTTGCAGTTTTTCATGGTGTATTTAGCTCCTTTCTTTTTACTTCCCAATGCTTCTGCCTTCTGTTCTGGCGTCAACTTCACGACTGAAATATCTATACCATTTTCGGCTATGTATTTCTCCATCTTCTTCTTCTCCAGATACTTATCTCTTGAAGCCCTTTTCTTATCTAAATACTCTTTGTCTTCGCGTCGTTTATTATAATACAGCCTATTGTACAATGCCAGTTGTTCACGGATTTCCTCTATTGTCATATCTTCAGGTTTTGTCATTTCACTATTAATTTATATAAATAATATTTCTTTAAGTACTTTGTCTTAATATGATACCAATATTTGATATTGAAGCAGTATAACAAAAAGTCTTAGGAAAACCACTTAAAGAATAAATATTATTATAAAATTAATATATATTGTAATTTATGACCAAAGCTATACAGAGAAATATCACTGCTTTAGAAGCAGTGTACGACAATTACAAGAAACGCTTTAACAAAGCAACCAAGGAAAAAGTCAGAAACATCATAGACTTATATTCTGAACGCAAGATAGCCCAGTTTACGACAGCCGACAATTTAATAAGAAAATTTATCACAGCCAAGACACCAAAGGACAAAGAAAAGGCAGAAAAGGAATACAACAAGATTTATGACAAACATAAGGATAAACCCAGTCTAGGCGAAAGAATGGAGGAAACAAAGAAAGAAAACAAGAGAACTGGA